TTTAAATAGGCGGGGTTTACCTGACGGAGTCGCTATTTAATCATGTGACTCCCTGGCTAATCGGCGCCCTGCAGCCTGCCATAGACCCTACTCAGCTGAGTAGTTGTTACTGTTTTGTGGGGGCAAATCCCAAGTGGAAATGCAAAAATACTGTGTAGGGCCGCTGTGTTGAGTAGACACTAGGGGAAATGTACCATAAAATGTTGAATACTGGATAAGAGTGGATGCATTTTAAAGCTAGAAACTTGGTTACAATTAAATTATGGTGGGTGCACTCACGCACGGGATTGTCAGCGAAGTGTGATTGTGGGTTGAGAGGCAGTTTGCCGTAGTGATTAGTAGCAACAGCTGACGGCAGCCACATAGCTGGGTCATGACTGTCCTCCTTGTTTGAAGACCAAAGAGAACAGATGTTCTGACAGTCCATTTAAATTCTTTTTCTCACAGTAATCCTTTATGCAGTGTCTACCTCTGCAGCCTATGGGCACTGTGTTTTGCATATGGGCTTCAATGATTAGTTGCCTCGTATTTTTTCTAATATTTGCATATCAGAAAATAACAAAGCCTGTAGGTATTCAGAACCGCGATGGCGTCGGAGTGAAAATGGTACATTTCTGGATTGTTGTTGAGATGCTATTTACCTGATTTTTTTTTTTGGACAAACTGCTTGGGGAACAAAAGGTTTGTCAGAAAAGCGACACTTGATCTTGTGTCGATGACGCTAATAAGAAGCCACCAGCGGTGGCGAGGGGAGCAAAGGTCACACCCACGGCGTCTCAACATTCCTCCATCAATAGCGCTGTGCAACTTCCTGATTCTGCTAATTGCCAGCCATGCCTCTTTATAGCTTTACGATTGGCAGTCTATGGGCGCCGCAGACAGAGCGTGTGTACATACAGTACATAATATCTTCATACCCAGGACAAATTATCCTACGAGCTACTCTTCACACGGGGTCCAGTCACCTGCTGAGTCCATCTGTTGGAGCTGCTCATTCTCTCTCATGCTGTAACCCAAACCCGCTCACCTCGTCACACATGCTCACTGCTTTTAGAGGCGAGGGGGCTTTCCCTTTTATACACGATGTGTGCGCATGTGTTCGTTCTCTGTTCTTTAAGCGTTTCTCCTTGTCACCTTACACCTTTTCTCTGATTCCCTTCCTAGACTTGTGTTTCCACTAAAATCTATGCAGAGCTGCACATAAATAGTATAATCCAAGAATAAACGGCAGCACTTTTGTATTTTCCTTTAAAAAATATAACAGAATATTTTATTATTCTCTCTCTAACTTTACTGAGCATCACTGACAATGTGCCATTTAAAGAAAATCTGATGTATATGGTTTTAAATAGATGGAAAAACATACAATGCAAGATGGTTACATGAGCTCAACGGCCTTGTTAGCAGTGGGTCTAATGGCCTTTACCTGGGAAAAACATGAGCTCTTTGTTTTAGTGACTGAAATAAGGCAGTGACGCTGCAATCGGATGGAGTAACCATTTAGTGGAAATTCTTTTCCCAGTATGCATGCTGCATGAGTGCTGTTTTTGCTGTATTGTTAAGTAGTGTGCTAACAATATCGAACACTCCAACAGTAGTGTTAGCAGAAACTCTTCTAAATGGATTTGCTGGTTTTTGACCCCCATGCTCAATAGGTTGATGCTGTTATTAGACTAACTTGCAGGAGCTCCTGTGGGGAGACATCCGACTGCTCTCCCTTTTCGCCGTGATTCGCCGGGCTTCTTTCCACCATTAATTAACCAGCAGCGACTTCTCTCTTCCTCTGCCAAGGGAGCCCAGATGAGTGTCTGCTGTTCCGCTGAGGAGAAACAGAACAGGCAAATACGGAGGCGAAAATCAGGGTTAGATCGAAACCCAGAACAGTGAATCAGTATTTCCACAGGCCAGGGACACGCTCAACGTATCCCAGAATAGTCGTGTTGATATAAAGTTTTCTTAGTTTTTTTCTGCTTGGACAGATATGGCACTATTTACTTACCCTGAAATGCCTGAAGCTTTACATAATGTTGAAATGGACGCCAGAAAGATCAACCGAGAAATACTGAATGATGGAGTAATTAGTGACAGGTCTTTGATTAGATAAGTTTTCACGTAATTTCTTGATGCATTTCAGATAAGGAAACATTGAGTTTTGATAGTAGATAGAACAATAACATAATACCAGGGGGTTTGCCCATTTGCTCTTTTCACTGATGCATAGGCCCTCTTCAATTCTATGCATATGTCTTTATATGCAAGCAGTTTTTGTGTATTGCTTTACTTATTTTGTATACTGTACTCCAAGTACAGTTTTACACATTTGCTCTCTATCACTCTCATTCTGTTGTCCTGCCAATTCCCATGGATACTTTCTCACCCTGCTCCATGTCAGTTAGCTCTCTCTGTGTCTCTGTAGAGAGATTACTACGTCCTGTCCGATTATCTGTCTAATAATAGCTTCCTTTAAGGCAAGAACGGCTGGATCCTGAAGCCTCCGGCTCTCCAACCCAAGTCTACCCTGAATTGTGCGGCCATTAATTTCAGTAATGAAGCACATCATACTGTACTAGAAACACCACGCCATTAAGGGCAAGATCCTATACAAAATAAACATTTGCACATTCTGTTTCGACATGACGAGCCCACAAGTATGCATACAGTTTCGGATCAAGTTTAGTAGCCACTATTCTGCCCACTTTCAGGTAACTATCTCTTTATCCAGAAAATGGGGACAAGGAAAAGAGTTTTTACTCGGGGCGTATTTATTTTTTAGTCATCTTCTTCACAGATTTGTACATTTCATACATGAACTTGGTTATCTTCATTATTTTGTTATGTACGCCTTATGTACATTTTACTTGTCCCTTTTAAATACAAGCAATTTGATAATCCATTCATATATGAAAAATTCGACAAAAAAACATCACACCATGTTTATATACACAAATCAACCAGGACCACGCACGAATGCATAATATACTGTTACATATTTGATGCATTTAGCATGTACAGCAGTGGTTTGAGTACGCTGTGGTGTTCGTATTTTTTGTATCCATTAGGGTTGTATGCATTCTTTGTTTTTAACTGGCCTGGTTCTGGAAGTCCTCTGAGAGTACAAAACTGCAAAGTTTGCATCTGAGGTCGCGATCATTGTTTATGCAGTGATTTCGAAGAATGATGAGGGGCACAATTTTGTCTGTGGCAGAACCTTAACATTAAGCGGTCGTTTTGCTTTGGCAATGTTTTGACTGAAACTCATCACCGTTAACAACCACACACGGAACAGCAAGTTAAACAGCAAAAGGCTGATATGTAAGGAAATGATCGTTGAGTTGGAAGTTGCAGAAAGTGAATTTATTTTTAAATGTATTTTTTGTAAAATATTGCTAATGCATTTCTATTTTGTACCGTAACCAGTGCCCTTTTTAGCCTCCTGGTAATTTGTTTTCGTCTTTCCTTTACCTGACCATGACAGGAAAAGGGAGTTGCAGAGATTTGAGATCAATTGAAGCCCGATTCCTAATTATCGCTAAATATGGACTTGTGTAGACTTCTTTTTCTTGAGTAGAGTTCTTTGCTGTGCTGTGGCCTGCTCAAATGTGGCTCGGAGAGACTTATTTAGAGGGAGGTGGAGGTAAGACTTTTTAAATGGTAAAACAGACTGTGCGCTCACTATATGAACCCAATATAGGCTATTCTAAAATGTGTGTGAATTCATTTAGTGACCATCGAAACGGGTCATAAAAATATCACCTTGTGTTGTTGTTTAAGGTGTTTTTGTAGCTATTTTTTATTTAGTTTATACATAAATTAAGAGCAGCATTTCCATTATATTCCTTTGAAACGATATCTTTGTTCCCGCTGATGAAATTAGGTAAAATTATGTCTTTGTCTTCGATTGTTGGCTCTTCCTCTTTTGCCATCTTTTGTGTTGGTGTGATGGTTGGTTATGGGTGAGTAGTCTAGAGAAAGTTTATCAGGGTCGATCAGGTTTTTTTTCAACCCACTTCGTGAAGTTGCTGAGAAGTTACAGTGATAAACCCAAGATGTTGAAAAAAATGTTGATACCGGTAATTCACCTTTACAAAAAAAAACGTAAACATCTAAAACGTTTCACTGTCAACCACTGTTTTCATGCCTTTATCATGAGATTTCTGAGATTAGAGTACCAACTTTTTTGTTTCTTTTCATGTCCTGGTCAGCCAAACTAAGGATTAAATTGCATGTATACTGTAAAATAGATCAAGTTTCATGTTATTGATAGGTAAATGGTGATGTCAGTTAAGATTGCAGACCATCTGCCTATGAGCTGACATTTTAATTAAGAATAAAGTGTTTTTTGCGGCAGTGTACTTTTACCAAACTCAGTTTTTGGAGCATTGACAAAAATGCCTGCGGAGTGCAGAGCAGTCATTCTCAGACTTTTGAGTACACTTTTGACTGACCCAGTTTGAAGGGGACGCCCAATAAGCTCAACTGAAGGAGGAGTATGGCAGGTCGTGAGTAACTAATGACATTAGGTTCAAAACATGCTCAGAATAATCTCTTTAAATGTGCTTGATGAGATCTGCTGAGGGTTGAGCCCTCCGTCGACAGGAAACTGTGTGTTCCCCTTGAATAATCGGAGTCTCAGGAAGACATTTTAAACCATCTTTGCCCGAAAAGATTTATTGGATGTGATATAAGAGAAAAAAGGGAATTTGATTGGAATCACCCGCTAACCAACAGAAGATTTAGCTAGTTGTTGATTTAAATCAATGCCACAAATAATGGCTTTTTGTTGTCTCCTTTAAGCCAATTTTGAATCATGTTTTCAATTTTACACATGACTCATTTTACTAGGATACCACACTCATGGTGGGAAATAAAATTGAATCAATTTGACATGTTTATGCATTTTTATGGGTTTAGCATCTATGGCAGCTCTATGACTTTTTCTCACCAGATGATCTGACTTTGCTCTTAATCTTTTTCTCCACCTTGTGTTTTTGTTTATGCAGACGTGCCGGCACCAGAGCAGCCGGAGCTGTTCCTGAAGAAGCTGCAGCAGTGCTGTACTGTCTTTGACTTCATGGACACGCTGTCGGACCTCAAGATGAAGGAGTACAAGCGCTCCACGCTTAACGAGCTGGTGGACTATGTGACCGTTAGCCGGGGCTATCTAACAGAGCAGGCCTACCCTGAGGTTGTCAAAATGGTGAGTGCAGGCACACGCAAGCATTTAACAAACATGATGTTCTCCCCCATTTGGTCACTATCATAAAGTAGTGACTGAAGATGCCAATATCTAGTGTCCCATCAACTTATGATCCATATCGGTAAAGCACATATGCTATCTACAAAGATCTCAGATGAAAAATGTAGAAAATGAATTTATTACAGTCTCAAATTTGTGTATGAGTAAAAGAAAAAGCAAGAACAAGGTTCATTCACCCATTTTTTTTCATATTTAGGTTTATTGGTCATGAACAGAATTATAGTCAAAGACAAAATTGCATTTATTGTTGTCTGTGTACAGTATAGGTCTAGATTTTCTCCCAATGGGTGTTCGCAGCTCAGAAACCTTTCTTAGGTTCTTTTAACTTTTAGAGGACCGTACTGTTTGCTTTTTTTATTTTTTAACCTTACTGATTCAACACTTCATCCATGGTCTAAGGAGCTGATCAATAACTGCTTTTGGTCAGACATACCATGAACCAATTTCTTGATATTTTTTGCTCCTCCTTTGAGCTCTGTAACAAAAACAGCTTCTTAAAACAGCCGCCTGCTTGATTGAGTACCATATTTACCGCACTGTGAGGCGCACCTTCAATGAATGAACTATTTTAAATATGTTTTCATACATAAGGTGCATTATTAAACAGTCAGATAGGTCAGTCAAACTTTATTAATAGAATACAAACCAGCGTTTTGATAACTCCGTTCACTCCCAAAATGAATAAACAGCTGTTTTATTATTTTTCCAACGCTAATGTCAGTGACGTAGTGTTTTCGCGACAGCAGTCATGGGCATTTATGACGTGTTTTTTGGGAGGTCGAACCAAAATGATTAAAAACTGAAGACATCAACAATATCCTGTCAAAATAATGTCTGTCCTGTAAACTGTCAGAGTTTACAGGAAAACTTAAAAAAAGTAAAATGAACAGTTTGTAGTTATTCACTTTATTCAAATTAAAAACCTAATTTCTTAAAATGTGAACCTTAGAATGCTGTCTTTGCAACAGTTAGAGATTGAGCACTAATGTGTAGCAATTAAATTAAGTTAGATATGTGAGAATCTAATGAGCCACTTTTTTGCACTTAGTGTTTAATTGTATTATAAGGAGAAGTCAGCATTTAATGTAGTCTAAATTTGGTGTGTGTTTGTGTTTTCTTATCATAAATAGATGAGCACCAGCAAACATTTAGGTTTTCATAACCACTGGTGTTTGTGTTGGGACAGACACGCCAAAAGTAATTGTTTACATCTGATGTCTGAACTCCATTTTCTTTGTTATTGTTTATGTATTTAAGGTGTCTCACAACATATTCCGAACCCTTCCGCCCAGTGACAGTAATGAGTTTGACCCTGAGGAGGATGAGCCCACACTCGAAGCCTCCTGGCCACACTTACAGGTACATTTTTTTGTAATATTTACCTAAAGGAAAACCTTACGTGTGTCTCTCCGACATGTGTGCATTTTCAGGTTGTTAAAGAGTTGGCAAGAATAGGCAGGTCTGACTTGTCAACGCCAATGATCAATCATTGTGGCTTTATTGTGATTCGGTCAACACCACATAGCCATTGTCCCGCACGCAGTTCCTTCCATGAGTGCAAAAATCATTGAGCTGTGGGACATGTATCAATATTGATGGGCTTATGTTGACTGTGACAACAAACCTTTGTATGGCAGCATCAGTCACCAGCTGTTGTTTGTCAGGAAGGTTCCACATGGATCCCTCTAAAAGCTCAAATTGTAGCGTGGAACATCTCTTAGTGCATATCAAATTATGGCATACACAATGTTATTATGTAAGCCGGTGAGTTGTTTACAGTCACCCTCTTTATTCCTAAACAGATCCTAGAAAGCCTTTTGCCATTGCTGAGTTTTATGTGGGAAATTGCTGTATTTTCTTACTTGAGAATTGAGTCATTAGTGTTTTCCAAAATTCTTTATCACTACTGTTGTATTCATTAACCAAAATGTGTTAGACCAGGTCCGACTCAAGGTTTCACCTTCCTTCCATCCTTTACTCTTCCCCTTATCTCCTTTTAGTGAGAAGATGCAAATCTAAAAAACAAGTTTCTTTGTTAAAAATGTCTGACTTTTAGGGGGGGATATTGACCTGCACCTACCTGCCAAGTTAAATTTAATCTTCAAATAAATGAACTAAAAGTAGATATTTTGTAGACCTGGAAGTCAGAAGTGTGGTTAATTGTATTTATTTTTCCTCTCTCCTGTATTTTATTTTCTCCCAAGTTGGTATATGAGTTCTTCATTCGGTTCTTGGAGAGTCAGGAATTCCAGCCCAGCATTGCCAAAAAGTACATAGACCAGAAGTTTGTCCTACAGGTGAGTTAAACTACCTGCCATCCTTTTAACCCTTTCTTTGCTTGACATGTCAGTGTATTTATCCCACTTTTTTCCTCCATGCTCTGGGCGTCAGTGTTAATACCCAATAATAATCTCAATTCCACATCAAATTCACAATTAAGACAAAAACATTGTTTTTGTGGAACTGAAACGTGTTTATCCTCAATATTTGCTGATCTTTAGTTTCGCTAGACATTTAGCTGCAGCGCTGCAAGAAGATTTTCAATCTGTAAAAGTCTTATCATAGTCCATGTTCCTGTCTGTCTTTCATATTTCCAGCTCTTGGAGTTGTTTGACAGTGAGGATCCTCGAGAGAGAGACTATCTGAAGACAGTCTTGCACAGAATCTATGGCAAATTCCTGGGGCTGAGGGCTTTTATACGAAAACAGATCAATAATATTTTTCTACGGTGAGTGGGCACCACATCCTCAGAAGTCTGAAGAATTGTTTCGGTTTACTTTCCGTTTTATCTCTGTCTGTCAGTATAGTTTGTGTATAATGTAAATTACAGATTTCAGCTGTATTTCCATAGAAACAAAATTAGCAGTGGACTTTAAGATAACAGCACCACATATTACCATGGAAGTCTATGTTTATTTATTCAATGTGCTCACAGAAAAAGTAAAATTCAGCGATTACGAACAAACACATTTATGCAATCTTAAATTTTTGGTGAATACAAAGTTTTGTAATGGAAGAATAAAAGAACCTGTCTCCAAAAATGAATTTAATAGAACTTTAAGTAACAAGGTTATTAGTTTTCTGAGGAAATGTTTTGCTAAACACTATTTAGTTGGGATGTTTAGGTACAAATTTAGAAAAAAAACTGTTTGTGAATGTGTAAGCCTCTTTTATGTGTTTTTTCTCATATATTCTCTCTGCCTGCCCTACAGTTTTGTTTATGAGACAGAGCACTTCAATGGGGTGGCTGAGTTGCTGGAGATCTTGGGGAGGTATGTGAAGGCTGTGAGCCTAAGACATAAGTTGACATTTTACTCTGCCACAGGAGTCGAGCTGTAAAGGTTCTGCTCCTGCTTTCCTTCTACTGTCAGTGCTATAGTTTAGCCAAACATGTGAGATTGTCTTTTTCTCTATTAAGACAGATCATATCTTACCAGTTTAAACCAAGATATTTCATTTGATTAATCACACATTTAAAAGGACCAATTAATGTCTTTCCTCAGCTTGAAAAAGTTGATCTCTCTGCATCCTTTGACATTAAGAAGCCATCAAAAGTGTAAAGATGTATCTTAATCACCTTCCTCGGTTTGCTTCCTTGTTCTTAAATTGTGAAATGTACTAGGTGAACGTGAAATATAACTCATAACCATAAATAAGGCAGAAAATATCTTGTCTAGAAGTTAGGAGGCTTATTTGTTATGATGTCTTATTTACAAGCTTAGCCTTTAAACATATAATTTCAGGCATGTTTTTGGGTCAAAGTGGCAAAAATATTTTATTCCAGTTCCAAACAAAGACTCACCCCACAGCGTTGTTCACCATTGGTGAATTTCAGTCTGAAAGAACTGAAAAATAGCATAAATGACTGAATCTAATAACTCTCCTCCTCAAAATGTGTCTCCTGTTATGCAGTTGAGCACAGAGGTTCAGAAACTCAGCAATAATCAGTAATAATCTAGTAATATAAATATAAGATGACATAAACGTATGAAGTAAATGTAAATAAAGCTATATCTTGTAACAATTGTTTTTTTTATCAGCGAACATCCACAGTTGCTGATCAAAATAAATCCATAGATTTTACATCATAAGACTGGTTATTGTAACTGATTAACCATAAAAGTAACAGATTCAGTTGAATCTGTTTTTTAAATTTTTTTTTTTTACATCATGCATATTTAAAAAAAAAAAAAAAAAGATTATGGATTGAAGTGCAGCATTATAGTTTTATAGAAGATCAAATTATCTGCTTTACAAATCTTCCTGGCTGCATTCCTCATGTAACAAAGATATTTAAATAATAAATATTAAATAATATTTGGTCCTATTTCTATGTAATTAGTAGTTATGTTTTTTCTCTTCTTTTTCCTCTCTTAGTATAATCAATGGTTTTGCTCTGCCGCTGAAAGCAGAACATAAACAGTTTCTGGTCAAGGTGTTGATCCCCCTCCATACTGTCAGGAGTTTGTCCCTCTTCCATGCACAGGTAAGTTGTCTTTCCATGAAATCATTTTTGGTATAATTGTCAAATTATAACTTACATCAATACTTGACAATGCATAAGTTTGTGCATTTGTATTATAATAAAATATTTACAATTAAAACGAGTGTGGACATATAGTAACAAAACATGGGGTTTGTTTAACAAGGCTGCTTTTGTAAGCTTTGCTAAAAGGTTCAAATGAGCTATGATTATATTTGTAACCCATGGTCTCTTCTTTTCTTGCAGTTGGCATATTGCATTGTACAGTTCTTAGAGAAAGACCCAACATTAACAGAACCAGTAAGTACCAGTATGCTTCATTCTAAATGACTTATTTTCCAGATGTATGGACACATTATTCAGCTCTACTTATATTTATACACAGCAATAATATGACTGTTGACCTTATGTGATTAAAAAAATACCCTGATTGTTCATGACTTGCAATTTGGATATTCTATTTATTTTCCAATTTATTTTTGGTACAATCTGATACGATTTTCATGCTGATGTTACATTCACTTGCCGTGTTTGAACACAGCTTAAGTTTTAGTTTTAAACATATCCCTTACAAAACATTGCAAAAGCCTTATCAAGTTCAAGTATGTCTTCTTTGTACCCTACCTATTCTATTCAAAGAACACATATATTATTAAATGTTTGGCTAAAGATGCCTCAAAAACTCTGAGGAAAGTGCATACATGTCTATATAATGGAAATTGAATTTTTGTACTGAGCTGAACCCAAAAAATCCAGTTTACATAGCAGTGTTTCATTAAAAGTCAGCTGCATGCTCGAATATCTATCCGGAAAGCATGTTTTAGTTTTATGGAGTGATCTTAGTGAAAGTTAAAAAACACTGATCGTTGGTGGATTGATGAACCTATTTCCCAGTTCTAGGTGATATAATGGGCTTGGGCTAACCCCAATGATACCACCAGTGAACAGACTGGTGTGTGTGTGATTGAGAGAAAAAATACTGTGCAATTATCAGTGTATGATAATTGATAATTGATTTACAAGACTAGAAAAGCACCATATAAATGCACTCTTTCACCATTTGGATGTGTTGTTGAAATGTTTCAAGTAAAGACGAACAGTTGCAAGTCTAACCTGTCCTATTCTTCATCCCCAGGTTATCAGGGGCTTACTGAAATTCTGGCCGAAAACATGCAGTCAAAAAGAGGTGATGCTCAGTGTTTATTTGTGTGTGTGTGTGTGTGTGTGTGTACATATGCTGGGTTTTTCTAACAATGTCTCTCTCGCTTGGTTACGCAGGTGATGTTTCTAGGAGAGCTGGAGGAGATTCTGGATGTCATCGAACCCACACAGTTTGTCAAGATCCAGGAGCCACTTTTCAAGCAAATCTCCAGATGTGTTTCCAGCCCACATTTCCAGGTCTGTGGGAAAAATAAAGTTCACTTGTCTTGTTTGTGTGGGCCACCTCGGTATGTGCGTAGTTGCTGCTACGAGGTCCAGCGGGGTTAATGAAGAAGTGGCTTTATTTTTGTGTTTGTCGCTCTCTTCTCAGGTTGCGGAGCGAGCTCTGTACTACTGGAACAACGAATACATCATGAGTTTGATCGAGGAGAACTCGAGCGTCATCCTGCCCATCATGTTTGCCAGCCTCTACAGGATCTCCAAAGAGCACTGGAACCCGTGAGTAGCTTTCAAAATGCAACACCAACAGCTTTCTGTAAATTCTTAACCTTTTTATAAATATGTTAACAACGATCAGCAAGAAATATGTAGGAAAGGAAAGAAAAAAAACTACCTCAACCCCAATCCTGCATTATTATTGATTACAAACAAAGTTTATTTTTTTACCAAGTTTATGTTGACCTTGTTTCTGAGGACTACCTTAGCAGCATTATCAATTTTTTAAGCTCACACGGGTGTGGCATATTATAACTGCAGTAGATTCGGGCAGATATCGGTAGTGATGCTTACATCTCTTTCACTGCAGTTCTGCTCAGAAGGAATCCACTTTAACTCTGTGGTTGTGATGAATTGCAGTTTCAGTTGTTGGTCTGTTGTATCTGATGGGGAAGTTGGTTATAATCTGAGAAATAATTAATCATGATTATTACAATTATTTGCAACCATATAAAAAGAAACCAAACATTAAAGGGCATCATGATAAGTAAAAGGAGTTAATGTTTGCACGCAATAGCCCTCCAACCAAAAGAAAATAAATAATTTTCTAAACATAAATTAACCTGGGTATTTTGGTGTGTAGTTGCATGATAACCCATGTTTGTTGTAATACCTCCTTTTGAGTTTGTTTTTGTGGCACATTTTACAAACAGGCATACTGTAATCTTTAGTAACTCGTGTGCCAGTCTTACTATGGGAGAAATATGAGAAACTTTAGGTGTTTTTGGGGTGAAATAATGTTACAGTGCATCTTTCCTGTCTCTTTGGCTCTACTTTTATGCGACTGAGCTGCCTGCACATGCACACAACTGGTGTAATTCTGTTTTTTTATTCTGGATGTGTGGCCCCCATCGTTGGGAACAGCACTGTAACTCTACGTTTATTTGAAAACATCAACAGAAACAAGGATCTGTGGAGCCTTTAGCATGAAGCAAATGGGCTCTTTTTACTTAAACAATGAAACGGGTTAAGTGTTATCTGGTAGTAATATTTATACTACTTCAGTGTCAAGGATGCAGTGTTAAATGTAATTAACATTCATAATTATAATTGCTATTAACCAAATCCTATATTAGTAAATTACTTAATTTAATAGTCTTTCTCAAAAATAAAATTTTTATTCATATTTGCTGTTGAGATATAATGAGGAAATGTGTGCACCTTACCTAAAACGGTGCTTTCCTTAAAGTGTCAGATGTTAACTTATTTGTTTTCCTCCTCTCAGGGCAATTGTGGCGCTGGTATACAATGTACTGAAAGCCTTCATGGAGATGAACAGTACCTTATTTGATGAACTCACAGCCACTTACAAGTCGGACCGCCAGCGGTAAGGACCCGTGTGCCTTCATGTCATCAACACTTACGAAGGAGTCACGATTTACGCGTTAGAATACATCAACTCGCGGGGCAGCTTCACAAGTTTCAGGAGCGCACGTCGCCCTTTGTATAACGTGGATATTTGAATTTTGATGAATTAAATGAACACTAATAAAAACGAGAAAATAAAAGAGGAGTGATAATTGTTTTCTACAATTCCTAATGCTCAGGAGTCCTATGTTTCTTCAGGCTTCAACTGTGAGCAATTATACTGTAAATTATATAGGTAAAAATTCCAAATACTTTTGTTTTTAAAGAAAAATTTAATGAAATCTGCCTGACCATTTTTTTGCATGATTAATAATTACAAATTATTTTTAAAGTACACAAGAGCCACTTATTGTGTGTACAGCATCCATTGTGTACGGTACAGTGCATTCTAGTACAACCGAGGAAACAAAACTGTTAATTAAGTTTTTATTTGTCTTCTAGTCTTTATTTTTAAGGAATAAAACAGACAAATCCTCAAGAGGTTCCACCATCATTTTTACTGAAATGTGAAATCATTCACTTCAATTAAACATACTTCACTTACCCCAGAGGGAAATGAAATAATGTCATTATTAAATAATATGATTTAATAGTGAAATTAAATCATGTCAGGAGTTTGGCTCCAGTGATAGTGGAAAACTTTAGGACGCAGTCATCGTGGTTTTAATAACCCGTTTGTGGGGGTGAAAAGGTTAGACGGCTGAATTGGAGGTTGGAGATTAAAACCTTTAGTGTGCATCATAACATTTAAAATGCTTAATAAAAAGTAAAGCCAAATGATGGAATTCTGGTTCAGGGGGGCTCAGCACACATTAACGATTTGTGTCTCAAGGCATTGAGATAACTACATATGCATTTATACAGTTGTCAGTGTTGACTTATCTCCCTGGCCACGGTTTATTGAAAGAACTTGTCCTCAATGTTGTTGCATATCAGTGAGAAGAAGAAGGAGAAGGAGCGGGAGGAGCTGTGGAAGAAGCTGGAGGACCTGGAATTGAAGCGGGGCCTTAGGAGCGACGGGATCATCCCGACTTAACGAAGACAGTGCTGCACTCCCCCCCCCCCCCCCTACCTATTTCCTTCCTCCTCACCCCAATCCAACTCCCCCTTTCTCCTCTTTCATCACCCCCCATCGTCCCCCCTTGCCCCTCCACCTCAGCCATGTCTGCCCGGAGCTCCTGACACAGGCCGTGGTCTCTGGACTGACTCAGAGAACCCGCCCGGTTTTCTTAATTGTTTTTCCGTTTTCTTTTTTTCCTTATGTTTTTTTTTTTTTTTTTTTTCTTCCGTGTTTGTGCGACTTACTTTACAGTAGATTCATCACGTCTGTTTTCATTATTTCAACAGCACTGTAAATAATTCTTTTTTCTTTTTTTTTTTTTTTTCCCCTTAAAATTAATTTTTTTGAAAAAAAAAAAAAAAAAAAAAAAAAGTTATAAAAAAAAAAAAAAAGTAGAAAATGAGAAAATGACTTGTACGGAAGGGGAATTGCAACAAAAAAAAAAGTTGGACTCTAGGACATGAAATGAACTCTTGATAAACAAAAAAAAAAAAGAGAGAAGATGGATTGATTTTTATCTCTTCATCCTGCTCCTTTTTCTTCAGTCCCTCATGTAATTTTTATTTTCCTGGTTCTCCTCTTTGCTTTTCCTCCTCTTGCCTCCATATTTCTGTTCTTTTTTTGCCTTTGTTTTTGTCACCTGCCCCTACATGGGATGCCTGGATTAATTGATAATCTTCCCTCCCCCCCAAAGATTCCTGGAAGATACCGCCAGCCAACTCTCTGGTTTCACCTGCCTGTATACAGGCTGCCCTTCATTGAAAACGGGCAATAAACCGTGCAAAGAGGGACTTTTTCTTGATATTTGCAACCTATCAACTCCCGAGTGTGTTTACATGCGCGTTCAAGGAAAGCAGGGGAAAAAAAACTGTCGGCTCAGTTATTACTGCTTCTCCTTGATATTCTCATACAAAGAGACTAGATATATATACAACATATATATATATATTTTCATACCTGAATGAGTGACAGGTGAATTAATGCATAAATATGGGTGTAGCTCTGCTTCTGTTTGGAGGATGCCTCAACTTTCGTGTTTATGTTTAAGGAGGGGAAAATGAAAAAAACAATGGTTCACTCTCTTATGCATTTATTTACCACATTCCCTTAGTCCAATTTGATAACAAGAATTGTTTCCTCTGGATGTCTCTGTAAAAAAAAAAAAAAAGCAATGTTCCGCATTGTTGTTGCTGTGCTCTCATCTTTGAACCAGCAGCAGTAGTAATAACAGCTCTGATTTAAACATACAAAAGTGTCCAATGCAGGTTAGAGAATCATTCCCTTTAAATACTGTTTTTTTTTTTAACCTAAATTGAACAATAAATACTGTCTAACTTGTTGTATGATAAAAAAAAGGACAATGTATCATTGATCTAACCACTATTTGTACAGGCTTATTTCTTTTCCCTTACTTTTGCTGTCATCTGGTTAAAGTGACAGCTGCTAGCGAACGGGAGAAAAGAAGATTTCAACTTAAATTAGCCAGGATCGTATAAATATTGCATCCAAAGAATTTTCAATTCATGCATTAGATATACAAATTGAAAAAAAACGTAAATATTAGATATTTGAGCAGAGTTTAGCCCATTGAACCACTGGCTGTTTGTTTTTAGCGTTATCCTGTGATGCTTATAGTTTAAATTTACAGTTGTTTTCCAGCATTTCATTTTCCTGAATATTTCAGATATTTTTGAATAACACTTTTGTTTTTCTTTTTTTTCCTGTAACCCCTTTTGTCAATATGTCTGCTCACAAAGACGAATATTATTAAAATTAATACCCGTAAAAAAAAAGAAACAGTATACATGAAGAACAATTTTGCATGTAAACACACTCCATAATTTCCAGCTGCTCCAAAGTTTTTAAAACATTTTTTTTTAAATCTCTATTTTCCCTCCATCTTTTTTCGGCTCACCGTGGACCCTTGCCCCCCCCTCTCCCCTCCAACTATACAAAGTATTGTTGGTAACAGTCTGGCACTGGTACCGTCCTGCCATTACTCCACGGGAAAAAAATAAATAAATAAACACTTTTTCAGTGGGGTACCAAAATTTTCCTCTTGTTGTGAAAAAAAAAACCAGCATCATTTTAATCTTTGCCTCCATCTCGAAACCCCTCCTAAGGGTCATGGGGAGGCACTGTGTTGACTTCACAGTATTACATCAACAACGAAACAAGGCGACCCTGTACATTGTTATTGAATGCAGTACTCTGATAATCCTGTATCTTGTAGTAATTTAGCCTATGTTTTTCTTTTCTTTTTTTTTTTTTGCTTAGGAAACTGTTGAGGAGTGTCCAGTATATAAAGAGGTATTATGGAACAAGACTTCCTGGTATTTATGATAGTGCTTTCCTCACTTTTTTTTTTTTTTTCTCTCACTCCTTCCTCTTCTCTTGGTTTTTATCTTATTTTTTGGATATTTTGATGAAGTTTCTTTTGACCATTGGATATAATTTTTTTTTTTTTTTTTTTAGTTGGGGAGGGAAGGGATGGGTATGGGCAGGTAGAAAAGAGTTCGGGTGAGGGGCAAGGGGGGAGAGTAGAGGGAAAGCAAGGTGAGGCCACGTTCTGTTTAGGAGTATTTTGAAAGTGAACATCCTCTCCTTCCTCCCTTGCAAGGATTAATGTGTGCTTTAGAATGGCCCATATATAACATGATTTAAAAGCTGGAAAAAAAAAGATAAAGAGGGTTGGAGAAATACAAATGTTTAATTATTTTAAAAAAATAAAGAGATATTAAATTAAACCTGTTTTGTGATAAAGCCCAGATGCTGATTTTCTTTATTTACTTAGTTGACAGGGCGTGATGTGTCATTGTATACAAATCAATTATGTTTATAGTCACAAGCGAGTCACACAAAGACATTATTTCCTCTTTTTTGTCTGGACTTTTATAAAAGAAAAAAAAAAACATCAGGTGAAAAAGATTCTTTAGGAGGGAGAAGACTGAAATCCTTGATCTATCAAGGCAGTGCTTAAATGCTCAAAGATATGGAATCGTATTTTAAAAAAAAAAAGATATTGTTCTATCAGATAGTATTGACAATTTCAGGTCAACGTCACTACATGTGAACTTTTTGGTTTCTTGGAGACCTCGTGTAAGAAACGAAACTCTCACACGTCTGTGAAACAGAAAGTTTTATTCTTATTGCATTTGTTTTTATTTAAATAACAAGAAGCCTGTTAAATGGTTCGTTACTGTTCACTTATTTTAAAAATGTGGCTGTACCTGAAGTTTTAGGATATGTCTGTCATTGTTGCTAAATGAAAGCACCAGATTGGTGACCTGATCAGACTGATCATTTCAGATTAGGTAAAAATAAGCTTTTCTTACTAGAATACTAGAATGATGATATTTGGAGGGCAAGCGTGGCGCTTTTAAAATACTGTAGTTACTGTACTTGTTAGATGTTTCCAAAATTGAAACTGCTGGAAACAGGTGCTTTCTTCAACACGACTGCTACTTTTACAAAAGAAAAGCGGTTTAATCTCAGACACTTGATTAATAAAAAAGTCCCATCTGTAAATAAAACTCACATTTCAGGGGTTAAAACCAAGATTTACAGTGGACTTGGACATACCTGTGTTTCACTATCTATAAGTATATGAATGTAATGAAGGGAAGTGATTATTTACACAATATGAATTAATCACGGGGCGGCACGGTGGTGTGGTGGTTAGCACTGTCGCCTCCCAGCAAGAGGGTTCTGGGTTCAAATCCCGGGGGAACCAGGACCTTTCTGGGTGGAGTTTGCATGTTCTCCCTGTGTCTGCGTGGGTTCTCTCCGGGTTCTCCGGCTTCCTCCCACAGTCCAAAAACCTGCATGTTAGGCTGATTGGAGATTGGGGAAATTGCCCTTAGGAGTGAATGTGAGTGTGAGTGGTTGTTTGTCCTTGTATGT